CCGCGCCGAGCAGCATAAGACCGAAGATTGCCAAAACTGGGCGCAGAATCTGGACATTCGCGCTGACAAGCAACGTTTTCTTGAGTCCAATCATTCGCTGTTCGTGCTGCCACGAAAGTTTGAATTTCGGCCCCAGAACGGCGATGAAATGCGGCATGTCAGCGCGCAGAAATCTGTCCAGGATGATCTCATTCAGCGGGTATGGCAACTCCAGCAGCGGCTGCTGCAGTTGAGGACCGAGAGCGAAGAGGTAAGACTTTAATACCTTTAATCTGTTTTCTCTGCCTCACTTTACTCTTTGAGCAGTTTGTTCATTCGTGCTCTCACCCATTCGTCAGTTCATTAATACACACATTCGGTTGGAATCACGGGACAGCTTCTTCAGAAATCTTTCAGATACACCTGATTCTCTGGCTGGTGGATAGGCTCAATGGGTTTGATATTAAGACGCGATTGTGACCGATCTTCTGTTCAGTCTATGCAGTTGTCGTTAGGAAATTTAAAAGTAAGGTCTACAGGCTAAACAACTCAGGAATAGGATCCAGCAGTGCAGACTTTATATTACCAGCAATTCTTTTAGCGGCCGTGGCGTGACTTCGTTCTTTCGGGGGTTACGAACTTTACGAACTTAAAGACAAATATGAGTCTTTGAAGGCAGTGCCAGTTGTGGCAAAATATGAGGAGAACTTTTTATTCTTCTTGAAGTACAAGAGCCACAGTTGTCGTTAATATTTCATGTCGAATAACTGCAGCTCTTTAAGACCTCTGTCCACAGTGTTCAAGTTTCATATTCATGACCCATGAGGGCATGCGAGCGTTTACAGTAAACACTGTATTGTCTTCAGATGCAACTGTGATGTGTGATGGTGATTCAGTGACATTAGTAACCAAGCTGTTGCCACATATAATTTCTGGTTGCATCGCTTTGTAGAATGAAGATAATCGAAATGTTACGGTGTATCCATCAAGATAAAGTAGAAGCCAGTGGGGGAAAACTGGATGATTATTCGTTGCATAAGCTTTTTCCAGGTTGGCATATCAGTGATAATAGCAGAACCCACATCGACGGTCATTCAACAGCTAGCGTCACCGATGATTCTGCAAACACAGATTTATGCTATTTGGGAATGAGACGGTGCTCAATGGGTTACACACAACCGATCTCACAAGCTGTGTGTAATCGTTAGTATTTTCCCTATTTAACTTTAGTCTACCGGCTGCTTGCGCAGCCGAGGCAATTCCGTGTCTGTCTAAGATGTGTTAGACATTGGTATAGAGTTAAATTGTTTTGAACGAAATTCTGTTTATCAATTTGACGGAATGTTAATAGTTTTCGGTTATGAATGTATCAGTTTATTCCATATATATAGAAAGATGTACATGATTTCTTTATGCCGGAGATGATATAATCCTTCGTAAATCACCACCGGGAAACAGCTCATAAAATGTTCTTTAATTAGTATTATGTAATTTAATTATATATTTATATTTATATAACAGACCAAACCAAAAATTCATATAGTCGCTGGTTCAGTAATTTTCCGTAATCGCCATGGTTTTGGTCCATTTATAATGCTTATGTTTATCTGTGATTCAT